TTCGTATTATTTGGCACTCATCAGCAATATATATCTCGACGAACTGAAATTTCTATTAGGATTCGAACATGCAGTACTCAACGCCTATTAAATGTTGAGGCGGCAATATAATCAATAGCAGTTTTCAATGTTTTGACAAAATGTTCTGCCTGACCATTAGAAAAAAGATGTCTTGGAGCAGTAAACAAATGTTTGCACCCTTACCATTCAATTAGGTAGTGACTGCATCTGCCGCAAAATGAGAGCCATTATTGGTCATTAACATCATGGGACCCTCTTCTTGTCTAAACACCTTTCTTAATGCTTGGATTATGAAATCAGAATTCGGTGAAGTTGTGAAAATATCCTCAGGCCACTTTGAAAAACAATCAATGACTACTAGTGCATAGTATTTGCTAAGAAACTGACCATAATAGTCTGCACGAATTTTCTGCCAGGCCTTAGACGTTACTGGTCATGAAGTCCATTCCGAAAGCTGATTTTTCAACTGATGACATTTTTCACAATTGTTTGCTGTTCGACAAATCTGCGTTTATCTCTGACCACCAACTTGTGAGCCTTGCTAAGGACTTCATTTTCTCAACACCTAAATGACCACTACGAAGATGTTCAAGAACAGATTTATGCAATTAAGGAGAAATGCCAACACGAACATTTAAACACAGAATACCATCAGGAGTGGTGGATGGCTCATACCGCTTTGGAAGATAGACACGAAATCTACGTTTCAAATTAGTATTCCAGTCTTTCCGTATAGCACTGAGTATACATCCAAAATATCTGCGAGTTCCTCTGATGGGATCTGAACGTCTCACTGGTAAAGGTTGCACTAAGAAACAGTTCGAAGTATTAATAGGTCTATCTTGTAATGACTGTCGAGAAATGTAGTCAATATGTTGAATTTGTTTGGCACTTCTGTGCTTAACCGTATAGTCATATGCACTCAAAGCAATACTCCATCGTTGAACCATAGTGGCTGACGAACGTGCTAAGGATTTTTCAAGATGATAAATAAACTTCAAAGCTTCATGATCAGTAACAATAGTGAATTTCTTTCCGAATTAATATTTATGAAGTCTTTTAACAGCTCAAAACACAACTGATGCTTCTCGCTGACTCTGTAATTAACCTTGTTCAGTAACAGTGAGTTTGCGTGAAACACAAATAGCTGGTCTACCTTCCTGTTCCAAAACTGCACCAATTCCCACAGGTGATGCATCAGTAATAAGCACAGAATGTACATTAGGGGAGTACGTTCGAAGAATAGCATCATCTTGAAGAAAGTTTAGTGGACTTCGTAAGCATGACTCCTTTTCCTCACTCCATTTGAATGAATTGGATGTCAAAACATCAAATAAACAATTTGCACGACAAGAAAAATTAGAAATAAAACGGGAATAGTAGTGAAAAGCACCCACTAGTGAACGTAATTCCGTAAGATTTTTTTGGAGACGGTGCATTTGCCAGTGGAGCTAGTCGTTTCATATCTGGTCTAAAACCATTACCATCAACTAGGTATCCAATGCATTCAAAACTAGATACACAAAATGCACACTTATTTGGATTCACTGTAACATTCTTCACAATTAAACGACGGAATAAAGCAATAAGTCTCTGGTCATGAACTACGTTATTAGAAACATGAACAATGAGATCATCTTGATAAACTTCAGCACCTTCAAGATCACTAACTACTTTATTCATAACTTCCTGATATATGGGTGAAGACCTACTTAGGCCAAATGGAAGAAAATTGTATTTGAACAGACCAAACGGAGTGTTAATTGTCGTCAAAATAGATGAAGATTGATCTAAAGGAATTTGAAGATAAGCATCTTTTAGGTCGACTTTCAAAAGCATTTTAGAATCAGTAATATCTTCAGCCTCTACCGTTGTGCACGTTTGCTTCAACAAACGGGTGTTCAGAGTTAATCTATAGTCACCACAAATTCTAGGTGTCTTGCCGTCTGACTTCAGTGGCGTAACGATAGGAGTACACCATGCTGAAGACTGAATTGGCTCAATTATGCCATTCGCACACAAATCTTTTAATGTCTTATGTACTGATTCTTGAAGACCATAATGAATTATTCGTGTTTTAAAAAAAAACTGGAACACCCTGTATTTGAACTTTTATAGGCTGAATTCTCATACCTCCACTGCACTTAGCACACCTAGCTATCAAATCTTTAAGTAAAGTATCCGAATTCTCCTTAGAAACTAGGAAGGACAACTCCACTTTAGGCTTTTTCAAATTCTTTAAAACTAATATTGACAGTCCTGTTTCGCTTACTAAAAATTCACAAGATATGTATGAAGAATTATCATCTTTGATTAGCAGTTCACAACATCTTCGTATGGGCAGTCTGTGTCCAGTAATCAATCTCGAAACTTCGCTGGGTCGTACAACAACGCTAGAATGTAAGGATTTCAAGTTCTTGAATGAAATAATGGACACTATACTGCCTGTCTCCACAATAAAGTCATAAAATGAACCAAGCGATATATAAAGTCGCTTTTGAATATAAGCATTACCTTTCGAAATAGTAGACAAAGATAAGTGATCACTAGAAACATCCGAATTATTGAGGTTTAAATGACAAGATTTAGTACTACTTGAAGCAAAACGAACCGTAGCTATGCATACTGACTGAATGTGTCCTATCTTACCACATTTAAAACATTAAGCATTACAAAATGCACATGAATTACGAGGATGAAACTTACCACATGATAAACATTTACCAAACTTTATCTCACCTTTGTGATTTGCTTTGTAATTCCTTGTTGAAAAACCTTTCATATTTACACGAGAATAAGAATTACTGATAAATGAACGCACGATCGCATGACCCTGAGATTGTAGTTCATCATGACGACTAAGCGAAGTATTGGAAATCATCATCGACTGGATATCAAGTTCGTTCACAGCTTCATAGTTAATACACGCATTTCTAGCATCTTGAAAGGAACAGTTTGGCATTCTTAACAGCTCTCTTTCCAAACTCGGTATGTTAATTCCTGCAATTAATCCATCTCTCAACTGCACATGAAGTTGATCACCAAAATTACACTTGGCAGCTTGTTTCTGCAATTCAAGGATGAACTCCCGAACTTTTTGGTCATTTTGACGAACCATCTTGTGAAAATTCGCCCTTTCACGGCATTCAAAACTGGTGCATTTTACATGATTTAATTATTTAAGAATTGAATAAGGAAGTGAGATAGGTTTTTCTGGATATGACAAAGTTTTTAATAAGCTGTACACTTCTCTCCCAATGAATGTCAGGAAATGTGCCACAATTTTATCACCTTTAATATCTTTCTTAGTCATGCTCCAGATTTCAAACCTTTCCAAATAATCCTCAAAACCCTACGAAATTGAATGAATATCCAACTTTTCCATTGCGGGCTCCATCGCGACGCCAGTATAGTTTTTCGAATTATTTGACTTATAGCATGAGCTCAATAAATAACGCAATTGAGTTAAGAAGGAACAATCAGAAACGAATGTACTGTTTTGGAATTCGAAATCGTGCAATAAACCAGTACCAAAATATCACTAGTTCGTTCAAACACCACATATTCTTTTATCCATCTACGTAAAAATGTATTCAGTAACGGTTGTACTTGTTGCCTCTGCCGAGAATAACGTTCGAGTTGGTTTATGTAGATGAAGCTCACTCAATTACAGTAAGATATTATGTGATAATGTCTCGAGTTGTTCGGGATCATCGAAAAATTGTGGTAGAGGTCTATCATCAAGTATTATTTCTACTGGAGTCAAACAAGTGGTGAAGCATCCAACAGGACGTAATCTGCTCACCGGATAGTGCACTCAAAGATCTATGTACATTTATTATTATTTCTCACATTCCTCCAGAATGACTTGCGTGGGGAGCATCATGGTGAATTCTATGTTCCGTTTGGTCATTCCTTTGGACACTTATATTTTAAGTCCGGCAACACAAGTTGTGATTCCTTTTCTAGCTCAACAAAGTTAATTCCTCAATGACTGTATAACATTTTTCGACACATCTCTGCGAGTTAAAAATCGCAACAATGCCGCTTAAATAGGCTTTCGATCTGTGACACCAATGCCCGAAGCTCACAAAATAAGCGATCGGAACTAGATCTACAGATTGACTCTACAAAGCCAGACATAATCGCAGTAACACACACTTGGCTGACACAGGCTATAGATAGTTTGGGACTTGATTTCGAGGGTTTTACGTTAGTATGGACCGCTAGAATACAAAAGCGTAAAGGAGGGTGAGTAGCTCTGTTCATTAGGAACGCTACTCCATTTGCCATTATCGACAGTGTGAGACGTGTGAATTCGTTATTTGCCGCTTGAAATGCAAGGGACAAGAGCTGCTGATTGGTTTGGTCTATCACAGTTCTACATCCTTTTTCATTCCCACATGAGTATCAGCTGGACCCTTTAAAATTATTTCACATTCAACAGACTCATAACGCCTAATTAACAACAGTCTATCAACCAGCTTGCGCTCAACAGTGAATAGTTCAATAACGAAGGATTAAGGTGCTTTGTTAAATATTAATACCGCATTCCGACAGTTTAGTTTATAACAATGAACGACGTCAATTTCGATTGACATTTCTCAGTATTGAGACTTTAACTAAATGGACATTTAAAACGGACTCATTTTTGATTTCAATGGTCACATAATTAAGTATACACGATACTGTTCATTGACAAGTGCAATGTTGTAACCCCTTGTGTAATTACCCATGTTTTTATTGAATGAAAAGAATGATATAAATACAGAAGATTCTATATTCTACTAACAAAGTGACATCAGTCATTACGTAAACAATCATCAATGTGATATGCGGTTCCATGAAACAATCTTCAATGTATTGAAATGTTGAACGAAATAGAAAGTGTGTTTACTAAACTACAAAATAAAAAGAACAAAGTCAACTTATTTAAAACAACTGACAAGCTGTTTGTGAGGACTATGGATAAACTCTATTCCTTCTGTAGAACCATAGCCAAATGCTACAGCCAATGCACACAATAAGGAAAGATATAACTAATGGCACAACGATGTACACGTATTGCAGTGATTTTCCTTTGTCAATGCCTTCAGTTGTATCTGTGGTCATGTTCTGAAATGAACGAAATATTAAAATGATTACAAAATATCAAGTATTTACCAAATCTGATTCAGTGCTTCCACTAGTGTTCTTCAAATCAGTTTCAGTAGTTGCTAGAGTTGTTGGTTCAGTGACAACGTTGACAGTCGAGCTCTTTGGAAGAAGGAAACGGTGGAATTACAATTGAATATCAAACATTTCATCATTCATTATACACCATTGTCAGTATTGATGACACAAGTGAATCCAAGAATTAGTAACATAATTTACATTTGCACTATGTGATCAATGAACAATGATTTAGGATATCTGCTACTGACTTAACAGTCTACGTGATGAGCACACACATTATCCAACAACTAACTGACAAATTATTTGTGCGATAAAATTTGTTACTCGGATGTTTCACGTTATCTCAATGTAACTAACTGACGGCTTTATTAAAGCAATCCATTTAGAATACAAATTTTTCAACAGGGTGTCAGGAATATCTGTTCTGAAATTTAACTATGGGAGTCCACGAACTTTCGCTTCTCAAACATGATGCATTTTGTAACAATTTACACATACAGACGGTTTCATACTGGACATCGAGAATCAGTACAAATTCTATGAGCAGAAGAATTAACATTTGTTCAATCATACGTGTTAAACGACGCTTCTATTGATTGTCCAATGTCCACATGTAAACGTATCATCGTACTCTTAACTGATTAAACATCATCAACGTATACAATACACTACTTATTTGCAACAAGAAAATGTTCTTCCGAGTAAACAGATTTACAATGAAGAGTATGGTAATATTGAAAACAATGTGTGAAGTTACTTACTTTATTCTTGCAACCATTTACTTTAAAGTCATGAATATCCTTATCATTGCTGGTAATGCATATATTGGCTGTTTCACACCAAATGCAGGTTGTATCTGGTATTGTTGCGCCGTGACATGCTTCACTCGAAACGTGTTTTGGACAATCTTCAGTAGAAAGAATGGGGTGATTGCATTTCAAGTTATCAAACAAAAGATACGTGAATTACAAAACATATAACTATAACTCGATAACATAATGATGATTTTGAAATTAGGCGACTATTTCATCCACTAGTTATTTGTCATCACCTCGCGCAATGCGAAATTCAGTTCACTTTGATTGACATTCACATTTCACAACTACATTTTGTCTTTGAATGAAATTACATCCATGATGAATAACATTTTATTCAACGAATATTAAAGTCGATTTGAACATTACATTATGGAATGATTCTCTCAGTTGTCGAGATGGTATTTTAATACCCTAACACATGATAAGCTGGAAATTCTTTCTGATTACTCTATGTATATATTCATGAGAAAGAGAACTCGTTCATACTATGTCATTCACATTTCAGGACAACACTTCGGATTTGAATGAAACTAAGTTGAATGTTCAACGATGAGTATTGAAGTGCGGATTTGGTAGATTTTGATGACTGTTCGCACTCAGAAATGTGTACACTATGCTGTCACCTGGTTCAGCAAAGCCCACTACATTTGATTTCTAAAAGATTTTAAGTTTTATTCATTGATATCAGTCTTGTATATCGCTTCAACATGTAAAAATAGGTAAACAACATTGTTAGCTCACTCACACTGGCTGTTTGGAAATCCGTGCAAGAAAGCCAGCTTTCTTCAAAGAGTAAATTCACTAATAATTATGTTAATTCGGTCGAAAAACGAAGGGAGAGTGACATTGTTTTTCAATTCGTCGCTGGCGTTTTTCTGGATAAGATTTCAGTCGACCTATCGGCTAGCATGTCACACTATTTGGTTCATGAAAATTCATTGGTAACAAATTATAATCATTCAACGAATATTGGAGTCAATGTGAACAGTAGATTATGGCGTGGTTTTCTCAGTCATGGCGATGTTATTTCAGTACTCCATTACATGACGGACTGAAAAGTGTTTGTTATTACTACCTATACGTAACAATGGGAAGGTAAATGAAAATCTTCAGTATTTTTGATACTGTACAAGTATCAACTACCTATGGTATATCAAAATCTGATCACCTGACTTGTCTACACGTCAAATTTATCGGATGAACAAGATAGAAGTATAGTTTTTGGAAAGTTAGCAACTGTTTACAAGAAAATAGTCATTACTGATACAATAAAGTTTAACATACCACCGAGAGCTTCATACTCCACTAACGTTCCACTTTGGATCCATCTTTTAGGAACTATTATTGCAGTATCTCTCTTATCTTTTGAAATAATTTGTACATGGGAAAACAAAAGAGATTTTGTTTAACGAGCGACTGTTAAAAATGTGAACGACTTTTCTGAATATCCATGATGAAGATATTCACACGTCATAGTTATATTACTCAGTATAACAGGTTAGGCGTGTGTCAGCAGACGTGGATCGTGAAATTCATTGTTTACAAAATTCAGCTAATAAAACAGAAACAACAGCAGTACGATTTCATCAACACAACGTAAATTGTTTACGTGACACTAACAAGAATGACGGTTGTTCAAATGAAGACACAGATACTTGATTTAAATTCAGAAGAATTCAGTGTTCCACCGCTCAAAAGACATGATCAGAACACGCAGTTATCTCAGGACTGGTTTGCACCTTGATTAATTATCACATGTGATACTAAAATTTTGCATTTGGATGTGTAAACACATAATCTACGTTGAATTCTTAATAAACAGTAGTGTTTGGATAATGTGTTAACCAGAAGCATTCAGATTTCATTTCAAAACTTTTCAGCAGCACTTTAATGACATCTCGACGATTCTGTTTTGACACGAAACTAGTCAATAATGTAGACCGTAAGAAAGATATATTAGATGACTATGACAGAATACAGCAAATTTCTGTATTGATGTGATGATCAAAGGCTACCTGAAGAGGATAATATTAGGCTAACACATGACTGCTTGTGTGAGTCCGTGTAAATCAGAATGTAAATAAAGTTTGCTACCTTTTTCTCCGCACTGAATCCGTCCATAAATTAACGATTTCTTTTCTGTTTCGTCAATTACCTTAGGGAACTGAAAAGAAATAACGGAAGTCTGAGTAAACATCTCTCATCACACAACCACCTTTATCAAATCCAACCAATCACTGAACGAATGTGTCATCATTCACATCACTTTACACAAAGACAACTAGTTACACTGTAAGCATACTGATCTCCTCACTTTACTCGAGAGTGCGACTCATTTAGTGTAGGAGGATAATCTAACTGACTTCAGTTGTCAACTTCACTGAAAATCAATGTAATGATGCGCTACACTGTGAAATGAATATATACGTCACTTGTCGGAAATGTGATTGTGAATAACTACAACGCTGCTGCACGTGAATTTGTTGTCATGTGGAGGAATTGTGTCAACGTACTCACTTTCAATAATCACCGTACATACAATTCCTGATTACCTCGAGGAAATCAAAATGGATTCAGTTCAAAACAAATGAAATCTTTCATCTCACTTGACCTTTCTGATTACTTAGAAACATGTGCACACTGAGAGATGACAAACGTTTTAACAATATACCTCACAGATAACTTGACAATGAAACTTTCAATTTGCTGAACTGCAGAAGACGTAGTAATGCTTGACAGAAGATTACTGTGTTAGAGAGTACCATAAAATACACTGTTTGTCAGTATTCCTATGGATTACATTTGACTTCCTATAATCCATTGTTTTAAAAAAGTCATTACGGAGTTATTAATGGAGTCGTATAGTCTTTGTGCATGTAATAAAATGTTGATATCCTTCTATTGTGTTCGGTGTACCTTGATGAGTTCGACAGTGTCAATTGGAGCAAAGTAAGATAATAATCTGAAATACATGAAAGAACACAACATTGCTATTCAATTGTGCAGCTCACGTTCTCAAAATAGATTGATATCTTCCCATTCGGATGTATCATAGTAGTTATATTGAATGTATGACCTGCAAGTAGAAGACTATCGTTATTTAGGAGTTGAGATATCAGTGATTAGCATGTAATTGTTGGATGCGAAAGTGTATGTGCCTACATACAAAGTGATCAGTTTTAGGCAGGTATTTTCTTCATTATCTCAATATAAATGTCAGATAACTAGGTTCCAAAGCTGTATTACAACCCCGTTTTCATATCGAAATAATAAATCATCGGGTTTCCAATTGAATCTGATATTTGTGGAGGTAATAACATTTTCCCAACACTTTATAATTACCGCTGGAAAACTCTATACTTAGTACACGTGAAATAAGCTATAGTTTGTTTGTTTAGAAATAGAACATGCTCACTTAGTTGATAACTATGGAAAATGAATAGCTTCAGATTATTCGTCTTGGTGATTTCTTAGATTGAATGAAGAACAATTATGAATGACCGTGTGATGAGTAACACAAATTTACTTATTTCACAATACAGACATCTGATCAAGCAGCATTGAAGCCTGTTGACGAAGATTTATCTCTAAAGTCGTTTATTCAAAAGTAAAGTGTGTTTATGACCCAATTTATTCATACGGATCTATTTATTACACGTCAAATCTAGTGTGCTCCTGAATATGTCAACTGTCCTTCAGCTCTCAATCAATGTGTTCAAACAATCGATGGATTCCACATATAATTCCCCCTTCCTAATTTTCTGGGATGCTTACACTTAATTACCTCTGTCAGTTTTTGAAAAGAATTCAGTGATGTAAAATGAACAGAAAATGTTTAAGCAAGTGCTGCGAATGATGGTGTAGGTGTTTAAATATTTCATATGTAATCAAATAATCATTTTATGGATACATACTTTTACCATCTGCATCTAGATGAAAAGAATCTCTGACGGCTAATAATTCCTCTGAAATGATGAAAGTAAAAATATTTGTGTTTTTACATAAATGTATAATCAATAACCATAGAGAATGAGTTTGGACACGAGTTATCATCTTTCTTTCAAGATTTAAGTTAACCGGTTCAACTAAATGGGAGTTCAAGGAGTCTTATAATTATTTCAACGATATGATGAATGTTTCCATCCAACCAACTGAGAAAAATATTCTACTTCCGGAACGTTGATTTTAAAAGCTTCAGGCAATCTAATAGATCGGTAATATCTAAACGAAAATACACATACAAAATCATTTCCTGAGATCGTGTTATTCCAATCGAGCAGTGTTACCTCAATTGAACTAATTATGACTGAGATATTCCACTTTGATGCCAATAAATGCAATAATTGAACAAAATGAGTGAACTTCATCTCAATGTTCTAGTTGTTCCGGGTCGAATCAATCATGTTTTACCAGTTCACTGTTCATGGTAATTTTTTATCATCTGTCATTATTATTACTTGTAGCTGTTTTAAATCCATACGAATATGATAGTCAAAAGTGTGATGAAAACACACAGTGAATCACAGATGGTGACTAAGAGACATTAATTATTTATGAGGTAAGTTGCAGAAAACAATCGGACGTCATCAAATGTAACATGGTAGTCTATGTGCTTTAATAATCCAAAATGATTTCTCATACAACATCGTTTATTGTTCTAAATGTGTTCAGTTGGATTCGTTCGATTTATCATTTCTACTCAATCAACTTGCGTTTATTTCAAAGTGAACCATCGTTTTCACTTGACTGTAATAAACAGGTGTTCTGAACACATTTTTGGAGCATCCAATCACACAAGCAAATTAATCACTGTGTACTGGTCAGCTCTCAAAATATAACCAGGTCAAATATTGAATGATTTATGCAAAATAAAAGTGAGAAACGAAAGACAAAATTAAATTATCGCCGGATAATAGAGGTACTCACCACTATACAAAATTGCAGATTTCGAATAAAAATCCTTTGTCACAAAATAGTCAGTTTTTCCTAAGTACTCATGATCGTACATATAAATTTCACCTGTAGAGAATGATAAAAAGCCTTTTAGATTAACTAAAGACAAAATGAATTTCATGGACCGTAATTGAAT